TATGATCAAATAGCATAGAAAAATAGACCTTTCTTTTCTCTTGAAGATTGTATAGAAAAAAATTTTCGCCGAGCTTTCTATAAGGAATTAATATATCTTCGCCACTACTTTTGGAATGACCTAAGTAGATTCTAAAGTGTAATGTGAATAATTTTACGGAATAAAATCTTCAGATGTCATACAACGTTTTGAATAAAGTGCATATAAATCATATGTAGAATAGAAGATCGTCTTGAATTAATTAATTTCTCAATTTTCAACTTACAATCTTAAAAGACTGGTTGTGAATATTATTTTTGCCTTTCTAAATTCTTAAAAATCTTTTCTGAAAATTTTTTTAAATTAAAAATTATGAAAATAATTGAAACATAATAGAAGATTCAAGATTTTCTATTCTGACAAGAAAATACTAATTTATAGAATTCTGGTAACATATCATCTAACCTAGAGTGTTCTTTTCATAGTTAATTATTATATGACTTCAATGAACTATGCATAAATTAAATTTTTGTACATTAAGAATAGGTAGGAAGTTAATTGTGAGAGAATTTCGATATCTTGAATCCTGATTCTCACAACTTCTGAATTTGCAATCAAACTTTTCTCATGATTTTCAAGAATACATTGTCCTGTCAATTCTTTAATAATTGAACGATAGAGACAAACGTTTCATATCAAATATTATTTTCAACATCTTTTAAATCGGCACACAATAACTCATTTGACGAAAATAGCCTTTGTGATTGTATAAATCCGTAATATATATATATATTTTTGTATACCTTAATGCAGATGCTACATTTGTATTTACTGATGATGGTTCAATAAGTTGATTTAAAATATGTAATAATAATTCATTAATATCTTTTTCATATGTTTGAACAAAATTTTTTTCATTTATATTTTCTATTTCAATAGGACTTCGACGAAATCTTACATCAAGTAAATCATTTAATAAAAATAAATTTCGTTTTAAATATAAATCATTTGATTTATTTATATCAAAAAATTTTAATAGATATTGTTCACGTTCATATTGTGTTTTATCATTATTATGAAATTGTAATAATTGTCGAAGTAATGAACGAAGTAAACTAAATTCATTAAAACGTTGTTCCAATTGACAACAATATTTAATAACACGTATTATCGATTTTTTTGTTGGTGAATATTCACAACTATAAATATTTAATGATGATGAACGATGTGTTTTATTATCATTTGTTGTTATCGGTATTGTTGAATCATGAGAAGTATAAGTATTATCATGACAAGAAATAGTTGTATTATGATTTTCATTATTTGAATTTTCCAATGAATCAGCAATAAATTGTAATAAACGACTTCGACCAATTTTATCATCACCTAAAATCAAACATATGTATTTCTGATATAGAAAGAAGTTCGAATGTTTAATTCGTCGACTCTTCATTTTGTTCGTTGTTAGATGGTACTGTTAAAAATGATTTTCCTTAATGTTTTGATGGATCTGAAAACTATCATGTTAGGTTCTTTTTTTTGTAGAAAACTTTCCTATATAGTTCATCCATGAGAGTTGAAAGAGACATAGTCAGATTTCAAAGATGATCAGTTCTCTTCATCAATGGAATCGGATTTTTTTAAAATATAAAACAAGAACAGCATACTGTCGAGAACTACAAAATATTCTTCATTAGAAGAACTAGACAGAGGTTCATCTTAGTAAAGGAAATATTAATAGAATCTATTCGATTTAATAAAATCCAAAGAAAAAAAAAATTATATGAACGATGAAAAGATAATATTTATTAGAAATT